TGGCGGGCGCCTGTGGTCCCAGCTACTTGGGAGGCGGAGGCAGGAGACTCGCTTGAGCCCAGGAGTTGGAGGTTGCTGTGAACTGTGATGCCACAGTACTCTACCCAGGGGAATAGCTTGAGGCTCTGCCTCAAAAAAAAAAAAAAAACCTAAATAAGATTTACAAGCTGGGCACAGTGGATCACTTCTATAATCCCAACACTTTGGGAGGTAGAGGCAGTAAGACTACTTAAGGCCCAGAGATGAGCCTGGGCAATATGGCAAGACCATCTCTTAAGAAAAAAATTTTTTTAAATTACCTAGGCATGGGCTTGGCACCTGTAGCTCAGCGGCGAGGGTGCCAGCCACATACACCAGAGCTGGCAAGCTCGAATCCAGCACAGGCCTGCCAAACAACAATGACAACTACAACCAAAAATACCCGGGCATTGTGGCGGGTGCCTATAGTCCCAGCTACTTGGGAGGCTAAGGCAAGGGAATCACTTAAACCTAAGAGTTGGAGGTTGCTTTGAGTTGTAATGCCACAGCACTCTGCCGAGGGCGATGTAGGAAGACTCTGTGTCAAAAACAACAACAACAACAACAATAATAATTACCCAGGCATGGTAGTATGCACCCATAGTTCTAGCTACTTGAGGGTTTAAATAGGAAGATCATTTAATCCTAGGAGTTTGAGGCTGCAGTGAACATCTAAGACTGTGCCAATGCACTTCAGCCAAGGTGACAGAGTGAGATCCTGCCTCTTTAAAAAAAAAAAAAAAAGTACAAGCCAAGCTCAGTGGCTCACATCTGCAATCCTACCACTCTGGGAGACTGAGGCAGGCAGACTGCGTGAGGCCAAGAGTGTAAAACAAATCTGAGCAAAAATGAGACCCTGTCTCTACTAAAAATAGAAAATTAGCCATCTTTACTAAAAACAGAAAAATTAGCCAAGCACTGAGTGGGCGACTATAGTCCTGGCTACTGGGAAGGCTGAGAAACAAGGATCGCTTGAACCTAGGAGTTTGGGGTTATACTGAGCTAAGATGACACCACTGCACTCCACCTAGGGCAACAGAGTGAGACTCTTTCTCAAAAACAAAAACAAAAACTACAGTCTCATAACAGTTAACTCACATTCTCAGGTTTCAACTAAAAAAAAAAAAATCACTCATCAACTCAAAAACAAGAAAATCTCAAAACAAGACAATCAATAGATATTAATGTAGAGAAGACACAGATGTTAGAATTATTTGACAAGGATTTTAATGCAGCCATCATAAAAATGCTTCAACCACTAAAGGCCAGGCTTGGTGGCTCACACCTCTAATCCCAGCACTCTGAGAGACCTAGGTGGGTAGATTGCTTGAGCTCAGGAATTTGAGACCAGCCTGAACGAGAGTTAGACTCTGTCTCTAAAACTAGCTGAGTGTTGTGGCAGGTGCCTGTAGTCCCAGCTACTTGGGAGATTGAGGCATTGAGGCAAGAGGACCGCTTGAGCCCAAGACCTCTTTGCCATTGCTGTGAGCTATAATGCCACAGCACTCTACCGAGGGCAACAAAGTAAGAGTCTGCCCTCCCCCCCCCAAAAAAAATGCTTCAACCACCCACTATGAACATGCTTAAAACAGATGAAAAAGAAAAAGACTCAGCAAAGACACAGAAGATCTAATACCAAATGGGAGTTATAAAACTGAAAAATATAGTAACAAACAGAAAAAAATTCAATAGATTAATTCAGCAACCAATGGAGAAAAAAGGAAAGTATCAATGAACTAGAAGATGGAACAATAAAAATTACCCAATCTAAATAATAGAGAAAAGATAGACTGGGGAAAAACAAAAGAGCCTCAGAGACCTTCAGGACTATAATAAAAGCAACTAATTACTTATGTCATCAGAGGTCTGGAAGGAAAGAACAAAGAAAGTGAGGTTTAAAAGTATTTGAATTTTCCTCCAATTTGACAACAGATATAAAACCTACAGATTCAAGAAGCTGAAGAAGCTATTCATCAAACAGAATGAGCCCAAGAAAATCTACTCCAAGGCATATAAACTTTTGAAAACTAAAGACAAAAAAAAATCTTGAAAGCAACAAGAGAAAATGACACCTTACTGGTAGGGGAACAATAATTCAAATGATAGCAGATTTCTCATCAGAAACTATGGAGGTCTATGGCTCAGTGAGTAGGGCGCCAGCCTCATATTCCAAGGGTGGCGTGTTCAAACCCACCCCCAGCCAAATTGCAACAAAAAAAATAGCCAGTTGTTGTGGTGGGTGCCTGTAGTCCCAGCTACTCAGGAGGCTAAGGCAAGAGAATAGCCTAAGCCCAAGACCTGGAAGTTACTGTGAGCTGTGATGCCATAGTACTCTAACAAGGGCAACAAAGTGAAAC